TGTTCGAGGGGCGGGGCAAGGCGGGGACTGAGTGGAACAATTTGGACGCAGCTGACTCCGGGAACACCACCATTCAATTATTACAACATCTCCCCAACTCAAATCTTCCTCTCCTCTCTCTTCGACCCCTTACTATCTCCCTTCCTCCGCCCCTCACCCTTTAGGGACTCTAGAATTGTCTCTTTCTTTTCTTTCTGATAAACACCACTTACTTCATTGCTCTAACTCCTTAGTCCCAATGAATGGTCTGGCCTTCATGAGTCTGCAAGTTGCAACATCATTCTTGATAAACCCCTGCGAATGGAACCCGGTGAAGGGGTTCCCTCCTGGTCAATGTATACTAATCGTTTAATTGAAGAACAGTTCTCTCTTCCTGTTGTCGTAGGACCGGGGGTTCCACGGAGCCCATGCGTGCAAGAAGCCGAACGAATTGGCACGCCACCGCTACGTCCTGTGAGCCGACCTGACCTGACCTGACTTGTATTCGGTCTATTTTCATCGGTCAGAATCATCAAGAAATGTTACCCGATGCTCGATTTTTTTTAACAGAACTGATGAACTTGGTAGTGGAGTTTTGCAATAGGGCTAGACTTGCATAAATGACAACGCAAATGCGGAATCTATACCCACCACCCCACCGTGTGGGGTGAATCGTGTAAATCGTGGCCACTGAAGGCGCTGGATAATACGTATTTATTGCTGATCACAATTTTACAAAATCACCAATCACAAGTTTTCATAAAAAGTGTTATGTTCGGTTGAAATGGAGGCGCGTTCTTTTGAGGAACGGGAGGATAGGGACGGGGGGATTCTCGACAAGTCATTCTTCATTCCACTGTACAAAACCACACGAATAGGGTCAAACTAAAATATCGTTGTTGGTCCCGTCCGGATAAACGGGGTGACCGCATACTTACCCACATCAGCTTCCGTGTGGTTCTCAGATTTGCAGAAGTCGAATAGTTCACCGCCCACAATCTGCACGACTTTATGTACAACACATTTATCCTGGATTCCGTATTCCTCAAGCGTTTTCTCGTCCAACAATACAGCCTTGTTGTATGTGAGAATGATACTGCCCACGCCTTCTCCAGTTTTTTTGCTTATCTTCTCTTTCAGTTGTAGAACAGTCTCTCTCGGTTGCACCGCGTAACTAGTGCGTGCTGATGCGGCACCTTGAACAAAAATTTCCATAGTGTTTTACCGCTCAGCTGCTCGGATCCCTGCCAGACGTGCGGGCACTGAGGATATTTATTTGGAGCAGCCTTAAGGATGCCAGACACATAATGTGACACAGACACACAATTACAAGCATCCGTTGACGGAATCAGGTCGTATCACATATTGACCAATCACCATGGGGATGATCGATTTTCTGATATTTCATCCGATTAATTTGTGTGTGTGTGTGTATGGCCTATCGGCACAACGCGTACCCACACCAATGCACGCTTTGTTCGATCCGCTCAATTTGGGCTGTAATGTGTCCCCTAATTTTCTACTAACAACTTAGGTGTGATATGAAGGGACCGGGTGCAACCTAACATCACAAAGATTACTACTCTATTGAAATGCCGTAGCATTCATTTGAAGCACAGCTTTTTAGGTTTCATGTTTGAACCACATACGTCTGCATGTGTTCTAAGGGGGCCGGGCGGGGGGGGGGGNNATAAAATAAATAAAGGGTGGTTTAACAGAAGCGGTGTCATACTGACTGAGCCTCTGTATCACTGCTGACTGGGCTATTGAGGGTGTAGACTGAATCTGCTCATGCAATGACTCGTTCCAACATTCATACCTGAGCATGATGACCGATTTATCGATCCATCTTGGAGTGATTCGCTTCTTTACCCGGTCGATCGAGGTCAATTAAGACCTGGTTCGCTCATTCTCGTGTCGTAGACTTACCCGACCAACGGTCAGGACGTAACGTTTGCAGTTTGGGGAAGGAACAGTCACTCCACCTGAACCTCGCTCGGTAACTCACTGAAAAAGTACTTTTGTTTGTCTATGGTGAAATCGATTCAAACCGAATGGACAGCATTTTGATAGACCCGATCCAACGGGTGAGGCATGATGGCTGAAGCACCAATCACTTTGTGGCATTCCTAGTAGATGCAGTTGATCCGATTCGCTTGAAGGCGAAAAAGTATAGAGGTTTGATTTCATTTCGACTTGTAGCGGAAGATCGCATGAGGCCCCTAATAGGCAATGTATGGTACTTTGAACTCGCCTAGAAGCAGAATTTAGACAATAATGATTTCACGAAGCTAACACGGAAAAGATGGAAGATGATTTNGATTCACTTGAAGTTGAAAAGGCACAGAGGGTTGATTTGATTTCGACTTGTAGCAGATCGCATGAGGCCCCAAATAGGCAATGTATGGTACTATGAACTCGCCTAGCAGCAGAATTGAGACAACTATAATTTCTCGTAGGTCACATGGAAAAGAGGGAAAATGATTTTTTTGTGGTGTGCATTTC